CATGGCCAACCAACAAATTGTTGGAGGCACCAAACTTTAAAAAAAAAACAGTCAATTATATTATTTTAAAATATTAATATATGAATTAATTTTAATATAATATATAATAAATATTAATTATTTTTAAATTTTAAATTAAATAAAATTAATATTTTTTAAAATTAAAAGTTTTGGTAACCTCAACAATTATTATTAGGTGGCTATCACTGTTGCCCCCACAATTACCCCACAATTAACTGTTTTTTTTTTTTCTTTCTATCCAAACAACCCCATTTTGAAAACAACCCAACAAAAGTATCTACCAGATCAACTTGCAATCCCTATTCCCCCAACACCCCATGAAGAGTGGTGATCTAATGAGGCCTGCTAGATTCAGCCTTCTAGGTGTCAAAATCCTATCGGTTAAGTCAATGGAGGGAAAGATGGCCAGTTTAAACAATTGAACTTCATTTGGATTTTCTTCACATCCGATAAAGACATGCTTAATAAATAAAAGTTACAAGAGGACAAGTTCTAGCCAACCCTCTTCATTGTCTCTAGTTTTGATTTTTTAACATATATATTGTTAGCATACTCTTCATCATTAAATTTGAACAAGACATAGCAAAAGAATATATGTGTCCTTACAGAAAAGGACATCCCTTTCAATTCAAGTGTTTTTTAAACCATATGTTGGAATATAAATAGGAGAAGCACAATTACTTAACCCAACAATCATTTCTAGGTTTGCTGTAATTCCACCTTAATCATAACAGTCAAGGAAAATGTTTCTGCCTTCCTATCATACCAAGGAATGTCATCTTAAGCTGCCTGTTCTGAAACATACATGAATTTGGTGCCAAAAAGTTCTCTTGAGGTGAAACACTAATTCAAAAGAATGCTTCTGAACTGAAGTTGGAGCTGAATAACATCAAATCTATGTTATGGTGCAGGCAATAATGCAAGAAAGGATCTTTTGCTGCCGACCCAATTTTGAGCAACAAAACAAAAGCTTGGTGACCTGCGCCATTCAGTGATTTGTGCACGGTACTGAATTATTTGAAAAGATAATTTTTTAAAAAAAGATTGATTTACCATTAATTTGTACAAGAGGAACAATTCAATAGAGATCAGAAATGTCACATGGAAATAGTAAACAAGATGCAAATAAAAATCTTCTACATATGGAGATACCAGTACCATATGCATCTTCAAACCCCTGACATGTAGTTTGGAGGAAGCAATTTCAATCTGGAATGAAAACTTGAATACAGGCAAATGACTAATTTTACATAGGATGAAATTCAGATTTGACCCTTGAAAGGATAGAGGAAGACATTGCAGACTTCAGTGAAAAAGGTTATCTTGTTGAATAAGAGCACAACATTCATTTACTCTCACCTTAAGTCTGAGTTCCAAATTCTTCTGGCAAGGTTCATATCCTATTGTAGGCACAGGAGCTACATTAGATTGTCTTCTAACTGTATTTCCGTTATCTTTAGATATGGTTTTGGGTACAACCCTGGAGTACTTGAGAAAGAACCTAAATAGCTCGATAGTCAAAGGCAATGATGAGTTACAAGCAGGGTTGATTCATTCCTCCATAAGGACCCTTTTAAAGAGAAAAAATATAAGGTTCACGGATCAAACCAAACAATATCTCATGACAAGGTTACGGAAGAAATCTTGACACTAACACACTACCCATGTTGCCCTATGAACCATTTCTTTTTCTCTAATTTATTTATTCATTTATTTTTTTGCTAAAACAAAAAGAGAAAAGAAGTGATAAATGATAACCGGAACCAACGTTCTTTTAATTACAGGACACTGCTAAAAGAAAAGAGTCTTGCAGTTAGCACAAAGTGAACTATTATTTCACTTTTCACTAAAGACGTTGTTAAAACTTAAAAGAAAGAAAAAGGCAGGCTTCACCCCCAATTAGGTCAAGAAAAAAAGATGGCCTTTTAAATATGAAAGGCTGGGGACATATGGTAGGCAGCATTTGCTGATGTGGCAGACACTGATTTTGAAATCTACATATGCTTAATAAATAGCAGCAGCAAGAAGAAGAAAAGGCTTTAAAAGCTTAAAATTCAACTCAAAAATCATATCACATCCCTTCATGGCCTCTGCAGCCATGGAACAATCTCTTTATGGTTCAAGAAGAAGAGATGAACCAGACTTCAATTTAGGAGAGTGGGCTGTCAAGGCTAGAATTAGCAGGGAAAACACCAATTCAAGAAGATATTCAGCATCGTATATCAGAAGTTTTAGAGAAGATACAAGGTCTATTAGATCAAACTTTACCATTTCTAGCACTGCTTCCTCTCCAGGGTATCCCTTAAAAGGTACCTCTGTTCTTTCTCTTTCTTCTCATGCAAGAAAAATGGGTTTTTCGTTTTTTCCTTTTCCATTCACTGCTTTTCTTAAACTTCACCACAATTTCTCACAGATGAGATTGACCCATCAACATATTCATTCACTACAGCTCTGAAAGGTAATTCTTGGTGAACCATTACATGTTTTATGCTGTTTCTTTACACAATAAAAGAAGTTCATGGTGGATTTTCTGCAGCATTGCAGGCAAGGTCGGCGTATAACTGTTGGGAATGCTTATCACCAGAGGGGTTTTCTTTGAATTCCAAGTGGAATGAAGCAGAAAAGTATATTTGCAACCCTCTTTCAGGAGAATTTCCAGTGGAATGTTTGTCTGCAAAAACACTGAGTGGAAGATCTTTCCGGCAGTTGACAAGCAGAATCACTATGTCTGCTCCTCTCATTTACTCTCAGTCCAGACACATTCAAACAAAACCTTCCAGGACTGTCCCAGAAGATGTAGCTCAGTTCCCAAATCTATATGTGGAAGGAGAAAGTATGCAGTGTTGCTCTTCTTCTTTATTAACTTGAATTGTTTGTTTTAAGTTGTCCTAATGGTGTTTGATATGTATACACAGAGAAGAAAGTGAAGGGGATGACTAGAGATGTGGGGACTCAAAGCACTCCTCCAGATCTTAGCTCTTCTAGTCCTAGCCCTGTCTCAACACCTTCAATCTTAGAGAGATCATTGAAGAGATGGGAAACAGAAAATGGAGATTCACCCAACTCTAATGCAAAGTCAAAGGCTAAAGAACAGGTATGTTTTCTTGATTCCTTAAGTGCTTTAATTAACTATGCTTAGGAAGTTAAAACTTACTTATTAAGGTGTGGATTAAAGTATGTTAGAAACATTATGAGAAACATTACTTAATTAATCTTTCATCTCTTTCCACCTATCAGGTTGCCATAACCTGAACTCAAGACCTTATTCTCCATCTGAAATTACCTGTTTTGATGAATTTTAGAACTCTCTGATTGAACTTTTAAATTCCTCCATTTTCAGTAAGTTCAGGTTTAAAATTTTCGTTGTGTCTAGTACTAGGTTTAGCTAGCACTCACCATAAGATGCTACTTCTTTAGTCCTCACAAATCAGTGGGTTCCTATTTGGTCATTTGTCTCACTGGTACTGCTTTCAAGATGAGGCAGAGGGGGTTGCCTGATTAGGGTCATATAATAGGATACTGTTGGATTAATTGGTCCCCTACCCTAACCCTGGAGGGCAAATGTCCTCCATAGCTCAAATGTATATAGATTCCAACTAGCCCAAGATTTTTTTTGCCCTCAGTTGCCTCTTTTCCTGCACAAATAATTGAACTGAGCCCTTCCAAGGTGAGGGACTAACAGCCATTGGTCCCATAAGTTTGATGGGTATGTACTCCTCAGACCTCAGTTGCCTCGGTAATCCAATCCATACTAATCCTCCCAACTAGCCTACCTTTCACCGCACATATCTCGTTGGAAAAGCAGAATCTTATGCAGCAAAGCAATTTTCTCCTTTTTCCTTTTTCAGTGGCAGAAAAACAGGTGTAAGTTACAAAACCATTTTTGGAATTAAAAAAAGGGAAAAAAATTGCAAAAACCAAGTTACAAATTACAATCCGAACTTTACAATTCTTTTCAATCGAATCATGCTTCTGCTCTTTTTCACTCTTCCCTTTGTTTTTTGTGAATCCCTCAAAGATGCTTCAAAACAAATGTTTCAGAAGGATTCTTCACTTTTTTTTGGAGTTTCCTTTTCTTTTGATTCTTTGGGGTTCTCAATGAAAATGGCATATCACTGCTTTTTCTAGGTTTTTTCATGTCTCCGGAAAAATGTCCATATCTTCAGAGAATCATGGCTAGTCACCATGTCATGCCAATTACAATTTGCTGTATGATAAACACAGAAAAGTATGTTGTTTGATGTGAGAGTTCTTTGGTGCAGGTTAAAGTGATAGAGAGCAAGGAGGAGGAAGAAACAAAGACACAGAGGGAAGAGAGGAGGAAAAGAGAAGAGCAATTATGGGCCAGGTACAACAGGCAAGGTGGGTGCTTCTCATGGATGAGAAAAAGGCAGAGGGAAAAGCACAAACCTAGAAAGGGGAGTATCTTTCTTCCCCATTTTAAAAGATGCTAAAAGGGCGGGTTTTCCAATTTAGATTTTCTCACTCTTTTTTCCTTCACTTCCTCTGTGAGGTGGGGTTTTTCCAGGAAAGTTTGTCCTTGAT